CCCCAAAACCCCAAAACCCCAAAACCCCAAAACCCCTCACTCGGCTGTCATAATTGATAAATAGGAACAAATACTAATAATAAATAATTTAATAATGATATCCAAACCAAAAAGCATCGCACTTTGCGACATCAACGATCCTTGCTACCTGTATCCAGGAAGCGTGTTTGCAACTATTGCCAATGCTGAGCCTGATGATGTAAGATTGCCTTCTGAAATTGAGTCTTATTAATAACAATTTTGAGAGTTTAAAAGACGTTATAGATAGGCTTAATAATTAGTAATAAATATTTTCTTTGCTATTAAGACTTGACCTAACCAAAATTTAGATTTTCTCTGTTTTTAGTACCTCAAGAAGTTCTCCTCAGTCACAATCAGATCAATTGAGTCCTACTAAACTCTCTGGACAACAAGTATCTCATGTAGCCTGAGATATACCTCAGCCAAATGATTTTGGCAGCTACTTAAGAAAATCTGTAAATGGAGAAGAAGTTGAAGGTACTTTCGGAGATAATCCAAATTCTGGCCAAGCCACCTCTACTCAGAAGATCTCTATCAAGGGCATGACTAGTTCTAACAGAAGAGATGTCGCTTATAAGTCAGCGATTAGACTTCTCAGAACATTTTATAGAAATCTCTTTAAAATTCAAAACCCTGACATTGTCCAAAAGACCTACCAAAAGTCCACTCTCGAGCATGTTTATGAGAGAGTTCATGCCATGCTGGCTGAATTGATTCCTCCTGAGAGCTTTACCAGAGACCTCGTTTATTATACCATTGGGATGGTAGGGATCAAGAAAGCGTCTGAATTGCCATGTTGTTGGGGCATCAAAACTCAGATTACTACATTCCAAAGATGTACAAAAAAGTTCTCAAGAATCAGGTTTGATAATGCTCTAGAGTCAGAAAACCTGAGAACTCTAGCCAGGTGTCTAGTTCAGGAATTGGATGATGCCAGAGTAAATATCTTCATTGAAGAGTTGAGTTAAACACTGACTTGGTACATTAAGAGTCAAAGATGAGCTTTGTTTCACCCTCTGGAGTGTTTTTACCATAGAAGGATATTTCTCTTCTGTAGACATCCAGAAATCTGTGAAAGAGCTCTGAAACTAATTCGTTAATTTTTACTAAAACTTCAATAAGCCAAAGTTTCATTCTTCTTCATCTTCTTTATGGGTAGGTTTAGAAAGATAGGATTAATAAATGTTGATAAAAGTTTCATTTGGGTTATTTCGGATGCTTATAACTTTGGAAGTAAATATCTATAATCAAGTGTTCCACTGTGTCTCTTTTCGGACTCAAATTTCGTGCTATTAAAGCTATCTTGATCTGTAATGCCATAACCATATTTCAAGGTAATCTGGGCTTAAGTTTATCATCAAAAGAAGGAGGTAATTTCGTAAAATCTTAGTCAATGTTTCGGAAAATTATTAATTCAATAATATTTCTAGATATGAATTTTTCGAACAATTTCTTCATCATAAACTTACAGTGCTGTTTTTGCATGTCCTTGCCTCTCAATTCCTTCACTGCAATATTAAATTTGCTAAAGTAAGAAGAAAAAAGGTGTTCTCACTTTCTTATAGAGTTTCATATTTAAAGTGAAACTGTAAATTCAGAAGCGAATAGAAATATTCTGCACTGCAAGATTTTAGAATCCAGTCTTATCTCTATTGGATATTATTACTTGAATTCTTTTACTGCCTTCTTAGAACTTTTCATATGGTCTTCGCCTTCGAATTTTAGTAACTTTTAGCCAAGATTTCACACCGTTTTCAACAATGGAGATCCTAAAATATTGCTTAAATTTTTCCAGATGGCTTCATAAAATCAATTATACAAAGTTTAAAATTTCAGGCACTAAAATCTCTTGAATTGGGAGTCTGGAGGGGCTCCTCAGCCATCTAAAATTTCTACTTTCCAAGAAGCAGTTTTCCGAAAGTATTCATTCCAAAGCGAGACTTGCTTGCCCGTTTGATTCAGGTGCTTAAAGACTGAAGAGAGGGTTTTCTTCTCTAAATATGAAGTAAATTTATAATCTTGCTTACTTTGTTAATACTGCAGATTATTTCCTTCATCATTTCTTGAGCAACCCAAAAATGTTAGTGGAAAGTTGGCTGGTGGCCTCACCTAAGGTGCAGTACTCCCAAGAGCAGGACTCTCCTATAGCTTTAGCTAAAGCTTTAGTTTACTTCAGATAAGGCATCTAAGCTGGCTGAGGAGTCGGCTTCAATCTAACTATGCTTAAATTTTGCAAACTGATGGCCTGCTGTATTTAAAATATTTCCCATAAACTAGGTGAATGAGATATAAAAATTCAAACTTGCTATTAGAACCTTCCAAGTTTTCATCTGTGCGGGCACTATCATTACTCATACAGCTCATTTGATTATAACATGAGTCTCCAGAAGCTGCTGTTTTGTAAGAAATGAGTAGTCTTACTGTCTTATCTGATCTCCACATTTTCTTCATAATTAGTTATGAAAAATAAGAAACTGTATAAAATGAGGCCTTATAAAATTATTATGAACAGCAGATAATTTTATTAAAATACAAAATTAGGAAGATTTCTTTACAAGAATCGAACAGATTAACGAAATTATGGAAATCTAGCATCCACAAACTTCAAAAAATACTTGAAGTTTCCTAGTATTGCAGAACTTTTTAGGCAATTACCAGATCATGTGTTAAGAGTTAATCCTCGAAGTCCACTGGCCATTTGGCAAAGTTCTAAGATAAGAAGGAACCAATGAATAGTAGGATTTATAAACATTCTCAAGCATTAGGGTTCTTAGAAAGCTCTTTTGCTACATTTCAGGGAAATATTAAGTTAGAAGAAAGCTTTATATTCCAAATTCAATTGGTCTGCTAGTCTTAACCTGAAACCCTTAATTTTCATAAGTTCCATTTAATTATTTCTTGTGTAGAACCGGCTACTTTAGTAATTTACTTTCAGAAGGAACCTTCTCTGAAAAAATATTAATATTTCCTTAAAATTAAACCAATGCTGATGTGCTTTTAAACTATTATGATTTAAATGCCAGATTTTGAGCAGGTGGTGAACCAGATATCCAATTAGCAGCTGATGAGGTTTTAGTGCTTTTGAACTTCTTCAAACTCACAACCAGAAGATATTTAAATTCCCAGACTTCTTGAGTCTTATCACTAATTGTCAATATAGCATCAATTCGATTTCATATTTTTCGAATCTATCTTTTATTGGTCAGTATATTCTTAATCTTCAAATTTTGAAAAATTCTAGAAAGTTTCATTCTCTACATTAAGAGACTCTACAACAACCCTAAGCTATAATAAAGTCTAAAGCTAAGGCTTGATGTCTGCTGTCGCCTTCTTAGCTCTCTACTATCTTCTATTCTGCTTAAAATAGCATACTAAAACTGAAATTGACCCCTTATCTCCCACAAAGACTTCTGTGCTGGCTCCTCTGCTGATCTTCATAAAATGTTTTCGAATTTAGTTTGTTCTGCTAAATGGGTTGGCTCCTTGGACTAGAGCTCCATTTTTCATAAATTCTGGACAAACTTATCCCTACTGGTTTATTTTCGGTTCTGTTCAGCCTGCACAAGCCTGTCCAGCTACAAATCTGTGCCTGCTTCCTAGTCCAAGCAGGCTGGGTTGGCGAGAAGGAGTGGAGGAAGAAGAGATGGGAGGGGGTTTTAGGAGTGGTGGCAGAGGAGGGGACTGAAGAAGAGAGGGTTTAAGTGGATGTGCAGTGGAGAGGCAGACAGTGGGTGGTAGCAAGGGGGAGGTGTGAGGGGAGGAAGATGGGGTTAGGTGATATTCCCACTCATCCTTCTCTCCATCCCTCCTTGCTCTCAAAGAGCTCTCTTCCTTGCTCTCTCTTGGCTTGCACGCACAGTTACATTTCAATTATTTTGAACAGGGCTGGGGTTTTGGGGTTTTGGGGTTTTGGGGG